AATTTTGATCAAAGGTGACCCATATTTTACCAAGAGTTTGTTTCCACGTATACGAAATACAGAGAATAGTGGTACGTGTAGCTTTTAAACATCATTTCGTCGAAATGAAAAGTAATTTTCGGTGTAAGATCGAAATTATACTGTGAAATAACTTTCTGCAGCCAGTAATTTGTGCTAAGAACATGTTTGTCGTTGTTTCGAATGAGTTTAATAGTTCCGCATAGTTTATGCTGTGGGTCAATAGAGGGAAAATGTCTTGCATGTGCGCGAATCGTGGCGTACGTTATACAGAAAGACACGGTAGGTGAAGAGAGGAAAATCTGTTTATGTGAAGAGTTCTGCTGCTGCTTACGCGTTAATGTCTTCCTTGCGTGGCATTTCCTAACAGTCAAATGTACACGTATATTTGGCGTCGCTCGGTAACAGTTTTGCAGATGAAGGCTGAAAAAACACTTGTATTTTCTTAGAAATTTAGTGAAACTCAGAATTTGAACTACTTGATCGTGTTGTGTGTATGTATGTATGTACAGGAACGTGTAAAAACAGCAGTCATCTCCACGTGCAGCACTTTGATTATAAGTGAGCATGCGTATTAAGGCAAAAAAAAAAAAATTATATGTTAAAATTTTATTAAAGTTATTTGTGTGAGTACAATTTGTGTATAATCCTGTGTGCGTATGAAGCTATACGATAATATTTAAGCTATATTCTGGATGCAATAGTTTGATTTTTGGACCAGTTTGGTTTTTGGACTGTATTGAACACTTAGATGTATGTGCTAATTCAGGGAATAGTACTAACAGTTGCTGTTTGATGGACTTTTAAATATAATTTATTTACATGAGCATATCTCTTACTTAAATTACTATAATATACTGTATCTGAAATAGTCGGACTAATGAGCTACAAGGAGACTTTCGGTGGATCAACGGTAAGTTTACGGACTTGCAACGCTAGAATCAAGGGTTCGGTGAAGAGAGAGCAGACAGCATATTGTATAGTTTTGCGCTAAAATCAAACAAATAATTAAACGCTGCAATGAAGTTTAAGTATTCAATAAGCATTAGCTACTGTATGTAGTCGTCGGTGTTACTTCTGTTAACTAGTATAAGGTTTTAAGTGTGACCACATAGGTTATAAGTGTTATGGGGAGGGCGAAGTTAAGACGGTGTTTGGTATATACAGGTTAACCTTTTGTGAAACTCTTTATAAACGCGAGCGCTACAGTAATGACTATTTGTGTGACACCAAGTCCGAAGTGAGTCAGAAATACAATAAAGATAGTAGCGATAACGAATAATCCACAGATGCTTCATATTTGGGAAGATACGGTGTCTGATTGTGGAAGAAGTGTTAAATCAACTTTATCATGCTTTCCGTTGTTTGTATTATGGAATCGGATGATAGATGTAAGACGTCAGTGGCTCATCTATATGGAGACACTTTATATGGTAAAAAGTGCTTGGTTTGTGTAAGGAAATATGTTTAGATGTTTGCCTCTCATTTGGCAATAGTTTTAGCAATTATTACTATAAGAGTAGTGCCCTGGAACTTTTGGTTGGTGAACAGATGTCCCTGTTGTTACTGGTTGATTCGCCTGCACCGCATTTTCTTCCTCCCCCATAGAGTATGAACAAGTATGGTAAGTAGGAAATCAAGGTAGTGTTCCTTAAGTCGTTATTTAGTTATCTCGTTCGCCAAGAAACAGAGCTGAAGAATAAATACTTATTTAATGAAGGTTTAGAATTTAGCCACATCCTGAACTAATAATTTTAACGTACAAACAAACGTAGTAAGTAAAAAAACATATAATTATGGCAGTCACCGCTGTTAACGTTTCTGGATCGAGAGTGCATGAAAAGCCAGGCGTATTTATTAAAAGACAACAGTGCAAAACTCACTATAGTGTGGAATGGTAATTCGAGGCTTCTGATGTGTTTTGTGGGGTTGTTTTTGATGGACGTGCGGGTTCTTCTTGGTCATTTCTTGCTTATGAGTGAAATATTCTGGTCTTTCTTTTCCTTACAACTATCAACTAATGTATGGCTACGCGTCTTGTCATACAAGTCGCGCAGAAGCTCGAAGGACGAAGAAAGACATTGTATAAATATTTACTCTTTTATTTTACACTTTTGTTTCACTCATTCATACGTATCAATAAGGTTTTGTTTTACGTAATTACAGTGTTTTATACATATAGTATACTTAAGATTTCGATTGCCGTTTTCTTTGAAATATCCATGTAGTTTTATCACATCTTTCACTGCTCTCGACGCAAAAACAAATCAGTTAGAAACTATAAGGTATCGATTTTAAAAGTTAAATTTATAGAGGTTTACAGTATAGTTAGATATTTTTTTTCTTGTTTTTGGCTTATCATTTATTTTACTTAGTCGATAAAATAAGGTCAAAGCTGCTTATTCTTTACATCATAACGTTTAGACAGACAGCCTTAATTAATTAATTAACATATAAAACTCGTATACAATATTACCAGCCATGTAATGTTTCGAAACATAAGTTACAGAAGCAGAGGAACTGTATACTTACGCACTGATCTCATTGCTTTAGGAGTAATACAAGGTAATGTACTTGAAAGCAAGTTTAATTAAAACACTCACTGCTCTCATTGCTTTAGGAGTAACACAATGTGATGTACTTGAAAGCAAGTTTAATTAAAACACACACACTGCTCTCATTGCTTTAGGAGTTACAAAAGGTAATGTACTTGAAAGCAAGTTTAATTAAAACACACACACTGCTCTCATTGCTGTAGGAGTAACACAAGGTAATGTACTTGAAAGCAAGTTTAATTAAAACACACACACTGCTCTCATTGCTTTAGGAGTAACACAAGGTAATGTACTTGAAAGCAAGTTTAATTAAAACACACACGTACACAAAATGCACAGGTACACACTTGAATTTGAGGAATATTTAACCTTTCCTTCTCTCCCTGTCATGCTTGTTTCCTCAAACCATCCATTAGGGGCTGTCATTATATTTGTTGGAAATACATCAGTGTAAGTGCAAAACCAGTTGATGGCATTGGCTATATGCCATAAGGAAGTGTTTTAATTAAGGATGAAACTGTCATAGATTCTCAAGTACATGCTCCAATATTTTATTAGTATAATGAATATGGGACACTGGTGAAATACTTTTCACACTTTATTTAAAGAATATGACAGTAATATTGTCTTTAAAACCTATGTTTGTCAGTTAATAGGAATATCATTGGCACCTGTACCAGTAATACTATATTTTAATTAGAGAAATGTTTAGACAGTGTGTTAACATGTCGAATAGTTTCACATGGAATGTTTAGAAAAAAGACAACAATACACCACTGGAAAGTATTCAACATATAATTAAGATGACTGAGTTTTCCCATTATAAGGAAAAGATATTCCAGTGTTTCCTTATTCATATCCACAGGTGAATTGTGTTGTGTGTGTGTGTTTGTGTGTGTATGTGTGTATGTATATATATAGAGAGAGAGAGAGAGAGATTATTTTTTTACACATATAATATTATTGTATAGCTGAAAATATCGATAACAGCAAGTGTATCCAACTGATGAATTGGTGCATTCTGATTGCTATAAATTTTTGTTTTATGACATTGCATATTATTAGTTAGCCAGTATATAAGATTAGATAAATTAATTACATTATTTTAATTAAGTCAAATTTTAGCTCTGATCTGTATAGTTGGCCTGCTTTGATGAGAAGTTGTTAGTGAAATACAGATACAACAGAACAAATGTTACAGGTTAGGTTAAGTTTGTGTAGATAGAGAATAAAAATGAAATATGGCTAACTTTATCAGTGGGTTTCATTCAAGGAAACTGAACAACCTCAAATTAATAAAAAATGATAAACAATCATAATGGCAATATATTGTGACTAATTGGATAGTTGAACTAATTGAAAACATTAATATTGATTAGTTGATTATTTTCATGATTGATTTGGCCATAATTCTGATTAATCAAGTAGCTTAAATAACACTAATTCAAGCCTGTACACAGAATTTTTGAAAGGGAGGTTGCAATTTGTGAGATCCAAAGCCAACACATGTTGTGCAAAGAAGCTTTGGGCTTCCATTAACAAAGTGTCAACAGAAGCCATTACATGTGACTATTTCAATCCAAAAAATGCTAATTCTTCATAAGACTATGTGGAAAATGTTAAAAACCATAAGCAGCTGTGCTATAAATACATATAACATAATGCTTTCACATCGTAGAAATAAGGGGTTTGCCCCCCCCCCCGGTGTATGTGCTGTAATTGATGTAATCCATGCTCATAGGCAATAGATTATATAAGTTAATCAAGATAATCATCCAGCACTAATAATGCATCCATTATAAATCAAGGTAAAGTACTACTGCTTCAAGTCACAGTGAGCCTAACTTTGTGAATTTAAAGGTAAATTAGTATCCCCAGGGTTGAACTACTCATAAACTGTGAGTGAGATGATTTTTTTTTCAGTCTTCATGCACTGTATATTAAATACAATTATGTTATGTTGAAATTATAATCAGAAAATAATGTTGCATGTAGAAGTATTAACATTAATTTAAAAATGAATAAATATTGCTGTCATTGCAGTTAACTTTATACCAACATTTTAATAGATCGTAGCTTTGACGGAAGGTAATTGTTATGTAATTCAGATTCACTGTCACTGTTTTAAATAAGTTTTGTTTTTAATAGTTATGAAATTCGATAATATTTAGATAATCCTTTTATACTGAAACATTGAATGTAGTTTTTATTATTTTATAGACTTATTACTTGTAAAATAAATTTTTTCTCAATTATATTGTGATTTCCATTTATTAGTTCCAGATCCTGCAGCACACATTACAGAAACTGCTATACTCTTATTCTTCAGTATGTTCATATAGTATCTACCACATTCATGTACCACTTATTTTTAGGTTGTCCTGATTTACATGTAACTGATAATGGGTATTTGTTCTTTTCTTACAGGAAAGGTGAAATGCAAACATCAGGGGACATCTTCCTGGTTTCTGAAGCTTAGAATTTATTCACTGACAACTGTAATACAATTACACTCTAATGTTAATCTGAAAGTGATATAAAATACTGATGTTATTGTTCACCTAACTCTGAGAGTTTTTTTTTTTTAACAAATGCAAACTGATGTTAGAAAGAGGAGTGAACTTTATTCAGTGACTGTTCTGTTTCAAAGACATTAATATGAGTGTCCTTATTACTTCTGGCAGATCTTGCCTGCAAATATTTATTTTGTATAGTATGGTCTTCTACCTTGAAGGTTGTAGTCTGGGCAATGGACCAATTTTAGGCAGTAAGTAAACAAATCTTGTTATTTAAAGAAATTTTAATAAAACAATGAATTTATTTGACTAATTAATCCTAAGAACATTCTTAGAAATACAAAATATTCGTATAACTCATGCATTGATTATTAGTATTAACCTGCTCGAAAAAGACTGCATAAAAAAATCTTTTGGAAACTGCATTTAATCATCCATTTCCATAAAAGAAACATTTAGGAAGGATTAAAATTAATTTCTAATATAGTTATCACTTTTTGGTATATTTCTTCAGTAGCATTTTGTACAATGTAACATTATGAAGAGAGAATATCCTTATTACTAGGCATAGTGATATCTCCATTCATCATATGTATATTGCACATAACACACTTGTGTATATATTTAAAACTAGAACTAGCCAAAATATATAATATTGATCAAAATGCTTGAACAGAACAAAGCAACTATGATAAAAAAAAAACATGATTTTTATGTTCGTTATTTTCTGATTTAGTTTAATTAATTAATTAATTAGTGTACTAATAAAAGGTTATATAAAAAAACTAGCAGATAATAAGAGGTCAATAAAAGCTATATGAAAGCAACAGATTTTCTAAAATATCTTAATATTTTGATATGCAATTTTACAGATACTACATCTGATTATGAACTGGAAGTTGGTTCAACCCTTGTTTTGAATTGCACACTCAACAATCATGAAATGTTGTCTGGTTCGAACTCATCTAACATTTTCTTCATGTTTGGAAACAACACAGTTTCTCAGTCACTTGTGTTTTTGCTTGACTCTCATACTGCTCAGCTCAGAATCCCTAATGCACAAGTCCAGCATTCGGGGAAATACATGTGTAATGTAAAGCAAGAAAACGGAGAAGTATTTTTCATTTGTGTGACTCAAATACTTGTTGGATGTGAGTAGGGCTTTAATTTGTATTACTCTTTCTTAAAACACTATAATTTTTTGATTTACACTTAAAGAAACATACTGATTTTAAAAATAGTAAAAACAATTGGGAAAAAGATGTTCAAAGAGTCTTTGATTTATTGTTAAATAATGATACCCTTATATTTCATTCAACTATTTATCTGTGATCTAAACTGAGAAGTTAGGTTATTCAAATATGGAGTGCAAACATTTATTTTTAAAATTTTCAAAATCTTCATGTGTGAAATTTAATCTTTTGAGTAACTGATTTGCAGTAACGTTTTTACACATATAGCTATTGATAGGAACAACTTATGATGATGAACCATACAATAATAATAACTAACACAATCATGTTCTTTGGTACTTTTTGCTGACATAAACAAAGGCCTTTTAAACCACTTGTAGTATCCCATTGTTGGATTTGAAGCTGAGCCTGAACATCATTAGGTATTAAATAGCATTTATTTTATGATTATTTGGAACAGAATTAACTTTACAGAAATTTTGCACACAATTTATTGTAGAATTAAAAGATGAATAAGGTGGAGTACTTATATTTCATGCCATATATTGGGGTTGAGTAAAAACATTTCTAAGTAACTTCTAAATAATTATTGGTAAAAATTATTTTTTATGTAGAAATGCTGATACTTTTTTTTCATGTGCACATACTATAAGCTCAGAAAAAATAGTAGAAAGCTATGAATACAAATAGTGTTTAAACAAACACTTTTGTGAATACATTTAGGTAAGTGAACATGTTTTTTTTTTGTCAGTATAATGTTAAGAATAAATTAATTTTTATTCCTATAACCTATTTTGTATTACATGACTTGTGTTAGACAATGAAAAGGTGTGTATATTTTGTAGTGAAATGCAAGTCCAAAGTTAATCTTCACTTTATAGATAAGCCACAGCCTGTAAAGAAATTCGGGTGTATAAGTGAAAGTTTTCTGAACCTTACGTGCTGCTGGACACCAAGCTACAACCCTGTGGTGACCACCTACAAACTGTTTAACATGTGGTATGCAATGCTGTAAGTTTATTTTGCCTTTTGTATGCTTTCAACTATGAGATATCATTACAAAAGTCTCAAGTAGCTTTATAAAAAAACTTGCCATGTTCTCTATTGTTGTAAAAGTAGAATACTTTTACTGTATATATATATTAAGAATGAGCGTAAACATTTCTGACTAACTTCTCTATCTATTTCTAAACAAATTGTGGAAGACATAACTTGTATCTGGTTAATATAAGTGTATTAATAATTTATCATAAGTACCTACTCTAAACTTAGAAAAATTGTTCTGTTGAAGGAGATAAAAGAAAAAAAATCTTGGGTATGCATCTTGCATTCACATGTACTCTAATCAAATGATTTCAATGAAAATCTAGTGGATAGGGTGTAATTTTAAAATACAATTACTAAGGGTTAACTTAAAAATGGCTGTTTTCTCTCTCTATTCATTATATAGTGATTACAAAAAAAAATTTGTTCTGCTGAAAGAAAGTTATCCCACAATGTAAAGCTGCTTTTTTATAGTTAACCAGTATTTTTACAGAATATAAGCTTTTTTTTTCAAGGTTCTTATTGGCTGTGAGTAAAAGTATTAATGTCAAATTAGCACTTGGAATATTTGTTTAGCGTGAAAAAATGATTAAAAAGAAAATATTCTAGAACGTCTGATTTGAAGTTAAATTTTTATATTTTAGACCAAAATATACTGGAATTCTTCAACTGTGTCCTGAACCAGTCAATGAAACTTGCTGTCAATGGAGATTGGACACATTTCCATCATACAAAAGAGAACAAACTGAATTGTACTTCAATCTAACTTCTGAAAATATATTTGGGAGTCTAGTTGAGATACTTAATCAATCTCATTTTGAGATAGGTGAGTTTTCGTAATAGGTATATAAATACAATGCCTGTCAATAATTAATACAAGATAATTTTGTTAGATAATTAAGAGATGTTCACTTTTGCCAAAATCAATCCATGAGAATTGCTGGTTGATTACACAAAAGCTTTTAAGTGTAGATGAAAAAAAAGAATTATATTTGTTATATTTCCTAGGACAAAACGTTAGTTGACAGTAACAGTTAAATATAATATGAAATTATTCTAAAATAGTCCAAGCTTAAAAGTAACACATTATTATATATTGACTCTTAAAATTATGCAGACCAAGACTCTAAGTTTTTAAACTTTCTGTTAATTTAATTTTGTAATTTATTCTGTTGACGTTCCATGATCATTTGAAAATTTAATTTCGTTCTGAATAAAGTGAATTAAATCCACCTTGTAGCAAGGCATGAAGGTCTTAATTAGCAAATATATATAGTTAAGTAAACATTTTTTCAGAAATTCAGCTTACAGTTAAAACAACCTTAAAAGAATACTTTCTTTAAATCATTGTTTTTATTTTTGAGTAATGTTTTCACTGGATAGAAATAAATAAATAAATAAAATAAATACATGATAAGATTATATAATATATAAGTTGTCACATTCACCTGTAGTTTCTTGATAAGTTGAAATGAATTCTGAATATTGTACAGGAAGTAAAAAATCAGGCACATTGAAATAAAATTTGACAAAGTGTTCCACATGCAGCACTTCTTTTGCTACACTGGAGAAAGATGATTCAGTTAATGACTTGAGACAAACCTTTGCAGCTATTCAATAGTCTGAAGAGACAATCGAGCTTATCATTATGTGTTTTAAGCAAAATCTGGCTCAAAAATTGACGGTAACTACTGTTATGCTATCCCAGAATATAAAACCTTGGTCATGTTATCAAATTTAAATATTAAAAGATGGTACAGATGCTGGTTTGAGGTTTCTTCTCTCTACTGTATTTTAGCGTATTTAGTATGAAACAGGTAGAAAACTATTTGTATATTATGTGTGTGTGTGTCTATATATATATATATATATATATATATATATATATATATATATATATATGTGTGTGTGTGTGTGTATTAGTAGTAAGTTAAGTAAGTTAAAGTTAAAGTTAAGTTAAGTATTAGTTACTTATTAGTTAGTTACTTACGTTATAGTTAAGTTAGT